TTTTTTATTTACTGACCTGCTTTTATGCCTTTCTCTTTCTTCATTAGTCTGCAGCTCCATGTTATATCCGAACTTAATATACATGGCACCTTTTAAGTATGGTGGAAACTACTTCTGTGTTCTCTTTCTTACTCCTGTATCCTTAGCTCCAGGTCTTCATTTCTTTATCTGGCCATGGGCGAGTTGTTTATAGCTGGGGGGTATCCACTGTCAAGCCTGTGCTCCATCTCATATCTCTCCTACCTTTACTCCTCTACACTGCATCCCGTGTCACCATTTCTCAAGGCCTTTGCTAAGATACCAGTCCTGCATTTCTGTATAGCACATTAATGTAATAGTCATAAAACCTGGGTTTTACAATGGCGAAGGAAATGAAATCAAATTAGTCATAGCTAACTGTCCAATTAGAAAAATTGAGGCTGCAGACAGGCCAAGGAAAGCTCAGACAGAGCAAGCCTTGACAAGCCTCAGTCCTGAGGTCTTGCAAACTCACTTCAAAGCCTGTCATTAGCAATGACAATGCATACAGTATTGCAGTACGTGCAGGGTAACAGCATTATCAACACAGTTGATGTTTGGCATGTTATACTGGAAGAACTGGAGGATACGGACAGGTTAAATCATGTGAGAAAACCTGATAGTTCAGAGTGGGAGTTTACACTCATATGCACTAATAATAAAATACTTGCTTTTATAATCTGGGATTTTGCCAGTTGTTTTGAAGAGAAGCAGTTGAGGAGAAGGGCTTATGAGTGATAGTTATTAACAGCAATAAAGCCACCTGCAAAAGGCATATGTGATACTAGGATGTGCTGCATATGCTAGCTTCAGTAAGGCTAGGAAAAATAAACACTTACCAACAGAGCTTCATCTGAAATTGTCTTGTTTGCTCTGGATGCCTGTGTTCAGGAAAGACATGTTCAGGTATGAGAAATGGAGATCCTGTGGATGAGTTAATTACATGAATGCAGACAGAGTTGTTCCAGCAACTGTGGCTTCCACTAAGTGAGATTCAAAGTTCTAAGGGGCACTGCAAGAAAACACCTGAGCTGCCTTGGGCTGCCAATTTGGGTATGAAAGCAGCAAACTGTGTTTGCAGGGTCTTGGGTTGGAAGGAGTAAACTTTCTCTTGGGCAGTTAGACAAAGCCTGGCACTGCATGAAAGTGTTTGTAACATTTCTGGACCAAATGGAAGTGTGCATGCCACTGTGCTATACTACGTAGGTACTGTTCTGGGCCTCTAGTAGATCTGGGATTGGTGTGCTGCAGTCCATAGGATAGATATTCCTGAAGTAGTCGGTAAACTTTGTTGCGTGGACTGTATTCATCACAGCAAATGAATGATTTAATGAATCAGGTTCAGAAAAGACGAGAGTGATTCTATCAGGTTGGGGGGTACTAGGGGTTTGGAGTGGGAGGGTCGACCTCTGCTCAGATGGTCCTTTAAACTGCAGCCATAGCATCTTCTGCCTGACTCTTTCTGGTGGTCAACATGCAGCCAAATCCATGTGTGGATGGTTGATGAACTAATTAATTTTCTGACTGCCTTCTTTTTTTTTTTTTTTTAGTTTTCCTTTCTTTTTGTACTTCCAAGCAGCAATTGACTGAGAAATGAACTGTAAGACTGAAGGAATTTCTGTGCCTCATTTTTACTGGGAGAAGGCACTTGGTAGATGGTGAATCTCAGCTGGGCTTCACTTCTCACCTCGCTACACACTTTTTGGTGTGGTGCTCTTTTCATGACTAGTCACTCTCTTTTTCTGATCTTGTTCCAGCTTACCATTTAAACTGTTCTAAACACTC